ATCATAAATAATTATATTGAAAAACGAATAATAACAACAACAATAGTAATGACAGACTTTCAGACATATTTTCAGTTACAGTGGATCTTTTTTTAAATAAATTTACAGAAATAATACACCGAAAACACTTCCGTTCTAGTTTGGGGGCCCGTATGCACCATAGCACGGTACCAAACACACGGTACTCTGTACAGCGCTAGAACGGTATAGTGGTACCACATGCTGCAATGCATGGCCATCAGGTGTGTTGAAATGAATGGCAATGCAATACAACTAACGTACAGTAATGTATTCTAGGTGCATTGCCATTCATTTGAATGGCATGCCAACACGCCTCCGATTGGCCGTGCGTTGCAGCACAGGACAATGCATTGTACTGCAAGACCATGTGTTGCATTGCGGTGAAAAAAAGTAGCACTGTTAACCCTCAGGCGCGGTAGTGACTTGACCGCCAGCAAGTTCTGTTTGCCCTGATGGAGCCTTCCTTAGCTCAGCTCCTCTGGCGATTGCCTCACCTGCCTTACCCTTGAGACGGCCCCGTAAGGAGCTCCGGGGGGACTTGTTTATTTATAGGGAAACGGCGTTGTCTGTTCCAGCTCTGTCTCCGGGGATATTCCGCCCGCACTCCCGCTAGCGACTTCTCTCCGCCTTTCATCTCATGTTGAAAGGAGAAGCTGGTTCTTCCCATGTATTTTGCATTAATCTCTTGAAAATGAACGGACGCTTTTATGCTTCAAAGAGATAAGCGGGCCCACAATTATTTCCCGGACTATTAGATCAATCAATAATACAAAAACACCTCCGGGGGCTCATAAAACCTGTGATCTGGATTTTGTTTTTCTTTCCCAGAACTCTCTCGCCATTCCCTCCTCTTCTGCAGATAAGGAAGCCGCAGTGACTGATTCATCGATTTTTGAAACAACAAAATAAAAAAAAAGAATTTATTTTATATAAAACTAACCCTTAGACATGTGCAGGGCCCAAATGTTTCATTTTTTTTGTTTCATTTCGATTCAGATTGTTTTTTCCATCTTGTGACATTTGGATCCGTTCGATATTTGTTATTCGGATCCATCCCAAGTTTTCATTTACGAAATTCGGATCTATTCGGATCTAGTTGGGTGGAGTCAGGGCCGGATTTACTCTCTCTTCTGCCCCAAGGCCAGGTTCCTCAATGTGCCCCCCCCCCCAGGAACCGGGCATCGGGAGATAGGAATTCCACATTCCTGCTGACCCTCTACTCCCTGCTGCCCCAAGGCCGGGCCTTGGTTGGCCTTGTGGGAAATCCGGCCCTGGGTGGAGTTTAGTATGTTGTTACACTTGAAAACAGAAAAAGAAAAGAGACCCTTGATCCATGCTGTGGCCTGGCAGGAAAGGGGGGGATGACGACAATCATGTGCCTCCCTTCCTCCTGCACCATACCAGCCCACTTCCCCTCATCACGGGGCAGGGTCCCCATGTTGATGAGGACAAGGGCCTCTTCCCCACAACCTTAACCTGGTGGATATGGGGGGATTTTGGGGGAGCACCCCACGCTTTTTTTTTTTGCATGGGTTCAAGTTTTCATATTTAACAACATATCAGTTCATTCCGATTGACATTTGGACAAAATTCGGATTCATCCAAATTTTAATTATGAAAAATTCGGATACATTCGAATTCGTTATTTTTCCCAATCGGAGATTCAAATGTGTCCGAATTTTGGAATGTGCTGATTTTCTGATGAAAATGAATGTAAAGTGAAAGTCTACTAATCCTAACATAGGAAAGTTTGAGGCCAGACTGAGAGAGGGAGAAGCAGTGCGAGGAGCCAGTCAGTGCTAACCTGGAGCATAAGCTCATTGATCTATTATGTTGGGAATAGGGATGCACCAATACCAATACTAGTATCGCTATCGGTGCCGATGCCGAGTAATTGGGGCGTGTACTCGTACTCTCCCAGATGCTCTGATGCCTAGCACGATACCTGACCAGAGAAGGCAAAATATAAGCAATTAAACTCCAGCTTTATCTCAGCATGTAAAGATATGAAAGTCACATCAACAAATACTTTACAGTAAACACTGGAGAAGAACTCTCAATATGTCCCCTTGTATATAAATAATATTTCCCTGGAAGCCTTTGATCCGCCGCTGGATCCCGACAATTTATTCACTGCTCCGTCTGAGCAACAAAAGTGTCAGGCGGGGGAGGAGGGGAGCGGCACAGACCTTGTGCAGGCTTCAGAATTGAGGAAAACTGACATTTCAGATACATTCACCATTCTTCTACATTGATTGGTGAGAGGAAGAACGGCAGAGCACCAGCTGAGGAGAAAGGACCTGAAACCAGTAACACAATAAACCAAAAATCTAAACCTCAAACCAGTAACATAAGAAACCCAAAACCCAGAATCTAAACCTCAAACCAGTAACATAGGAAACCCAAAACTCCAAATCTAAACCCCAAACCAGTAACATAAGAAACCCAAAACCCAGAATCTAAACCTCAAACCAGTAACATAAGAAACCCAAAATCTAAACCTCAAACCAGTAACATAACATATTACAGTTTACTAGTCCTTAGATGTTGAGCCTGCAATAGTAGTGGTGATCCTGCCAGTAACACACTTCCTGTCCTGGGGTGACTACGCTCACTCACTGCACTGTATCTATGGAGGGACAGCGTTGTCACTCTAGGCTGCCTTCCTGATTTGGACTACAAACTCATCCCTCTGTACTCATTTCCCTAACACATGGTAGAAAATGTACTAAGAAAGAAAACTAAAGCAGCCAACACATCTAAGGACTGGCAAGCCACAATATATGACATGTTTTGTTCTTGGGTTTTGATCTACTTAGAAGCTGAACTCCGGAAGTCGAAATTGTCTAAATAAAAGGAGTCATGTGTATTCTTCTGGAATCTTGGTGAGCTTTGTGTATTTCTTCCAGATCTGTGCAGTAATCCAGTGTGAGACTTGGAGCTTCCTGCAATAAAGGCCGGTCACTGCTGCTCTCTCTCCTTGTGCAGGGCGACTGGTCTTGTCTCCGCCCCCTCCTGTAATAAAGACTGGCCACTGCTGCTCTCTCTTCTTGTGCAGTGTGACTGGTCTCGTCCCTGCCCCCTCCTATAGTTTCCTGTAGTGGGTGATGTCTGCTGGGCCCCTCTCACAGCTTTGATCTCTGCACATGCTATGTACAGCCCAGTGATGATGTCACTGCTACTTAAACAAAGTAATATCTGGGCTTACAAAGGCATTAGGTGCACACAATGTGGATTGGCTTCCTAGCCAATCAGGAAGCCGGCGGCGAGTAATGACCAGCCTGATTGGCCGGCAAGCCGCCTCGATGCCGATTGGCTGGCAAGCTGGCTTCCCAGCCAATCAGCATCAAGCCGACTGTTCTGCTGGCTCGATGCCGATTGGCCGGGAAGCCGGATTCCTGGCCAATCAGCAAGGAGGTGGCTGCTTGGTCAGCTCAATGTTGATTGGCCAGGAAGCCGGGATCCAAGCCAATCAGCCTGGAGACGGCCAATCAGCAAGTGGGGAGGCGGGTCATTACTTGCCACCCGGCTTCCAGATTGCCCGGGAAACATGGCTCCACCAGGGCAAACAGATTGCATAGGGAAACATGGCTGGCTCCATGTTTCCCTATGGCACTGACGGTCACAGGAAATCTTCCGCTATCGGACGAGTATGAGTACTCTCCCACAAATACTCGATATTGGCACAGATACTAGCATCAGTATCGGTGCAACCCTAGTTAAAACCCATGTCAGGACATTATTGCTGTCCCCACCAAAAACATAGAAGGGAATTTATCAAAACTGGAGCAATCAGAATCTGGGGCAGTTGTCCATAGTAATCAATCAGCTTCTCTCTTTCAAATTTTCAAAGCTTAACTGAACAAACTGAAGAGAAAAACCGATTGGTTGCCATGGGCAATTGCTCCAGATTCTAGCTGCTCTATTTTGGATAAAATCCCACCTTATTGACAACAGTCACTAGAAACCAATGGGAAACTGAAACCTCTAACCTTATCACCTGACCAAGGAAAGATGAGAAATCATCCAATAGGGACTCCTGTTCTGGTGGCGACCAAGAGAGGTCACTTTTCAGAGATTTTTCCCATACTTCCTGTTATGTTTCCAGGACAGGAAGTAAAGGGAATTTTCCCCGACGGGACACATACAGGCCGGATGTTAATCCTCCAATCTTCTACCCAAAACCAATAAGACACGTTTTGGCTGCACACAGGGCCGGATTTACTCTCTCTGCTGACCCAAGGCCAGGTTCCTCAATGCGCCCCCCTCCAAGACCCGAACTGCATGTCCCGGGCATCAGGAGATAGGAATTCCACAACCCCTGCTGTCCCTCTAATGCTGTTGCCCCAAGGCCGGATATACGGCCTTGGCTGCACATGCACTCTAAGTAAAAATATAAAATATACTACATGTTTACTTTACACATAAAGTGTGATTGTTCTGGGACTTTAGATTTCCTTTTATTTGCGACCTCCAAACGCATAAAACAAAAACGTTTTTAGGCTCCACTTATGCTTAAAGTTTGCTCTTTAATGAGGCCTCCTTCAAAATAACCAAAACAAAAAAATGTTTTATCAATAAAACTTTAAAAGTACAAAAAACACAAAAACGCGAACACATAAGTCAATATTTAATTTACAGAAGCACTTTTCATTCCATCATCCCAGTATCCCGGCATGCAAATGTTACACAAAAACTTCCCGTCTGTGTAATTTGCCCTCAAACATCTCTCAACTTCATCACAAATACAGAAAACAACCCCAAAATCTTATTCCCCCTTCTTCCAGTGAACAAGCATTCTGATGCGCAAATGTGTTCAGAATGCAAAAATGGAGGTGGCGGAGCATGCGGAGAGCTTGCCTTCAAATAAACTGTAAGCTGAAAATGGTTGCTATGGTAACCACGATGCCATGGAATCCTGGCACCACTTCCCGGAAAAAGAAAAAAAGTCCGACCTAGAACTCAGCGCCTTCTAGTATATGTCCAACAGACTGCAGAACGCCTCATGCACAGAGTTCGTTCGCTTGAGGTCCACTTCACATGATGGAGCATTTCCCTTTGAGCTTCTCCTTCTTCTTTTGCTGTTTGGACTTCTTCCCGCCCACCTGGAGGCTTACAGTCCGTCGCTTCTCCAAGTTTAAAAGTTCTTGGAACAACTCCTGAACGTTGTAGTTGAGCTTGGCGGAGGTTTCCATGAAAGAACACTTCCACTTGGTGGCCAAGCTCTCCCCCTCGCTGGCCTGGACCTCCCGTAGAGCGTCGTCGCTCTTGTTGCCCACCAGCATGATGGGAATTTTCTGCGTGTCTCCTTTGATCTGGCAGATCTGTTCGTAGATGGGCTGAAGTTCCGCCATGGATTGCTTGCTGGTCACCGAGTAGACCAGGATGAAGGCATGACCCTTGGAGATGGACAACCTCTGCATGGCCGGGAACTGGTGGCTCCCCGTCGTGTCGGTGATCTGCAGCGTGCAGATGTTCTTGTCGCAGCTGATGACCTGTCTGTAGGTGTCTTCGATGGTCGGGATGTAGGTCTCTCTGAAGGTCCCCCTGACGAATCTGAGCACCAGAGAACTTTTCCCGACTCCTGCTGCCCCAAACACGACCACCCTGTAGTCATTGCTTTGTTCTGGCATCTTTCCTCTAAGGGATCTCAAGCTGGAGGCTCAGAAGGATTCAGTCTTGAATGCTAGGAGGCTAGGAGGACTTACATGCCGAGATGGAACAGACACCTGTTGAGGAAACATCAAAAAAACATTTCAGTGCAGGGCAAACACTTTGAGCTCAACAAAAATAGAGGCTTCAGTATAAACTAGGAGCATCAGCTGCAGATTATTATTGTTGCTGGGTATTGGTGCTACGTCAGGTTTCCCGAGCTGGCAGAAGGCTACAAAGTGCTCGGAAGTGCAGGAGCCAGGATGATACTGGTCCAGATAACGAGCTAACTGCATCCTTCAGGCTGTCAAGCACGGCAGCACTTTCTGGGATGGATGTGATAGAACACACACATACAGTACATCTATATAAGCTTGCACCTTACCTTGCCTGAGCACTCTGCTTTGTTTCAGCCCTTCCTGCGGTCTGATTACTATGTCGCTCTCAGACGGCTCAGCTGCAGATGAAATCAGAAGCTCCCTCCCTTTTTTTTTATATTATTGGTTTTGAATGTTGCCTGCAAGATTAGATTATTTTGCCATCTAGTGGATGTACTGGACTTTTTTTTTTTCTCCCCTGGGCCATCCTTCGCATTGGCCAACTGGTATGTAGCAGAACGGCTTGTGAGCCATTTTAGCTGGCCACCAATGACAAGGGGCTTCTGCTGTCCTAACTAGGGATGAGCAAACATTTAATTCAGCTGTAAGTTCAGCAAAAATGTGGGTAAAATTTGGCCAGTTTGTCAGAATGCATTGGAGTCAGCTGGGAAGGAAAGAATTGAGTTGTTTTTTTTTTAGGTGGAACATTAGTTAAAATGGGTTCCCGAACCTCCTGCCTTAATGTGTAAGAACTTAACCACTAGAGTACCCTCCTCCACCGAAGAGGTGTCCCCCCCCGTCATCTTCCCGAGTCATACATTGCAGACTTCAATACTTTAGGAACAAACAAAAAAACTAAACAAAGAAAAAAGTTCCAATGACTCACCCTTTATTGGATGGCCCCATCTGATGTTCCAATCAGACAAAGCCAGCCAAAAGGCAAGTGGCTTCTGCTGGGCTGTCTCTTCAGCTGGCCAGTATTACCCTGGGCATCATTTGTCATATATTAAAGTGCATAACAAGCCAGAAATGTTTTCTTAATTTGTATTTGAGTGTGGAATTGTGAAAACCCATTTCAGGTTTCTGCTGCTGTCTGTGTCATACTGGGTAGATTTCCCTTAACTTCCTGTCCTGGACCACAATGGGAAGTAAGATAAAACTGCTCCAAATTGAAAGGAAATCTCCTCTTAGATGTCACTGGAACAAGTGTCCCCATTGGAAAAATTTCCCGATTTCACTTCACCTCCTGTGATGACGAAAATTTTGGAAAAGTGGCTCCAAATAATCGAAGCCGTGGGATCACCACTGCAGCCGGGCAGCTAGCATTTTCTGAAGGAGGCAGCCTACATACTTCTCTAAGTACATGTGTCCTTTAAGGATCCCAATCACACTAGAACTTATGGAAAAGCAACATAGGCCATGGTCTACATAGGCAAGACTCCAATGGGGTGTCAGACCGCCCCTTGTTTTATCATTTTCCCTTGGTAAAGGTTTAGTTTTTTATGTTTTTATATTGTCTTAATAGAAAATTAGCATTTCACCACCTGCAGAAAACACTTATTTATATGGCTTGAACTAGACAGACGTTACAAACTATGCAAATATACAAAACGTATGGACCTTCATGATAACATGTACGCACACACATGCAAAACACACACATACATACTTATGTAGGTTGAACTAAATGGGAATGGTGTCATTGTTCAACCTTACAAACTATGAATCAGTCAAATAAAATAATTAGTGATTTGAGGTGACACAACGAAAGCTAGCTTAGGTTGTCCATAAGTGAATCTGGTTATGATCCCACTACAGCTCTCAGGTGACAGCTTTAGAAAGGTGAAAGGTTGTAATTGTACATTTGCTTTATTCACATGGATACACTATAAAGCCAAAATATGTGAACACTCAATGGCTGAGTTCAGGGGTTTCCAGTGAAGGGTACTGTTAATGCTACAGCATACAATGACATTTTAGACTATTGTGCTCCTTCAACCTTCTCGTTTGGTGAAGGTCCTTTTCTGTTCCACCATGACTGTCCTCTGTGCACCAAGCCAGACCCATGCAGACATGGTTTGATGAGTTTGGTGTGGAGGAACCTAAGTGGCCTTCACAGAGCCCTGACCTCAACCCTACAGAACACCTTTGGGATCAGTTGGAATGGTTTTCCATAAAGAAATGGTTTGAGGAGTTTGGAGGAACCTGATTGGCCTTCCCAACGGTGTTCTGTAGGGTTGAGGTCAGGGTTCTGTGATCAATTGGAATGGGTTTCCATAAAGACATGGTTTGATGAGTTTGGAGGAACCTGATTGGCCTTCACAGAGCCCTGACCTCAACCCTACAGAACACATCTGGGATCAATTGGAATGCAGATTATGAGCCCGATCTTCTCCTCCAACCTCAAAAACGTTCTTCTGGTTGAGTGGGCAAAAAGTCCCAGAGACACACTCTGAAATCTTAAGGAAAGCTTCCCAGAAAATGTAGAGGCTGTTAAAGGCCAACTCCATGGAATGAGATGTGTGGTAGAAGTCCACTCACCAGAGCCGATGCTTTCATACATTGGCTCTCCAGAGTGTTTTCAGGCAATAAAAAGATGGAAGTATGTAAGGAATCAGGTGGGAAATGGAGCTCTTAAACCTTCCTCAGAAATATGACTTCCTTTTCTTGAATGCCCTGACAGGTCTAAGAAATCCCCGTGGCATCTGAAGGCTGATTTACACATTCATAAATAATACAGTCTTCATCTCCGCTGACACTGCAATAACCAGAAAAACTTCACAAGGGATTCCGCTTGATGGTCCATCCCCCCTTCCCCCTCCAGCACATCTACGGGAATTCATCTTCCCCAAATACAGAGCTGGACATATTGCCAGAAGAGCTTACATCACTGCCCAAGTTACCAAAACACCAGAGGGCCCATCATCAGAAGTGTACAAGCAATGAACTGGAAGGCCAATCATGAGCCAGGTCTTCTCGTCCGATTGCAAGCCAGATTTCCTTGGCCAACATCACTACCTGATCTCACAAATGCTCTTTTGGTTGAATGGCCCCAAATTCCCACAGACACACTCCAAAATCTTGTGGAAAGCCTTCCCAGCATAGTGGAAGTTGTTATAGCAACAAAGGTGGTGGTGGTAGTGGGGTTTGGAGGGCTCCATATCCATGGCTTTGGAATGAAATGTCCAACAAGTGGTGATAGTGATGGTGGCAGTGATAGATATGGAACCCTCCAAACCCCACCATTACCACCACTTTCACCGCCAAAATCACTATCACCACTTGTTGAACATCTCATTCCAAAGCCATGGACATAGATATGGAGCCCTCCAAACCCCACTATAACCACCACCATCACTACCACCACTTGTTGGACATCTCATGCCAAAGCCAAGGACATAGATATGGAGGCCTCCAAACCCCACTATCACTACCACTATCATCACTATCACCACCACTATAACCGCCACCATCACTATCACCACTTGTTCGACATCTCATTCCAAAGCCATGGACATAGATATGGAGCCCTCCAAACCCCACTATAACCACCACCATCACTACCACCACTTGTTGGACATCTCATGCCAAAGCCAAGGACATAGATATGGAGGCCTCCAAACCCCACTATCACTACCACTATCATCACTATCACCACCACTATAACCGCCACCATCACTATCACCACTTGTTCGACATCTCATTCCAAAGCCATGGACATAGATATGGAGCCCTCTAAACCCCACTATGTCCATGGCTTTGGAATGCCATGCACATAGATGGTGGTAGTGGTGGTGTGGTGGTAGTGGGGTTTGGAGGGCTCCTCATCTATGTCCATGGGTTTGGAAAGAGATGCCCAACAAGATCACATCGGTGTCTACAAACATTGGTCATATAGGGCCTCTACCCCGCCCTGTTCAACCCAATTGCTACAATAAAGACTTCCATCAGCCACACACCAGATATTCCTTACAATTACCAAATGTTTTTAATGGCTGTTCATTCTTCCTCATCAATACAGAGTGAAATTAATGCATCTTGGGATTGCAAATTGCCGACTGAACAAGCATGCCGCACGTTACAATTTGGATTGGCTAAAACGCCGTCATTTGCCTCACGTGATCCATATATTATTTAAGCTCCTTGGAAATTCCCGGCGCAACGACTGAGAACACCGACACTCTGACACTCTACAACAATCAAATCAATCACATTCAAAATAATTGAAATAGGAAAACAAATAATCAATCAGGCTGTAAGGGACCGTCGGACCATTGTCCTTCTCGGCAACTCGATCTGTATTAGATTTGGCCACCTACAAAGACGGCTTATTGGACTGACAGGGGCATTTTATGGGTGCCAATGGTCCATAAGGCGAGGAGGACATCAGAGACGGCGGTACCAGAGCCACAAACACACTTATAGAGTTTTTGTATGACCAAGATCTGGTCAGCAGCTGGCCCAATACAGATCTGAAATGACTCTTCTATGTGTGTCTATGGCACGGGTAGGTCACCTCAGCACCCCAGCTGTGCTGAAACTACAAATCCCGTCATGCCTATGCCTGTCAAGAGTTTTGAAATACCTCATGGGACTTGTAGTTGCACAGCAGCTGGAGTACCGATTTTGCCTACCCCTGGTCTATGGTTATGACCTGATATGAGCAGCTGGAGCTGTGCTGCAGCCAAAGAACCACAATCCTCAGCAATACCTCTTAGCAGAACCCAAGAAACGTCATGGAACGTGGCATATACAGCAGTTTCCTGAAGCATTAAGCACCCCCTATAAAATGACGGAGCAGGTCACATGACCTCTCATCCACAGTCCTGAATAATCTCTTTGGTCTGTGCAACTGAAAACGAATGGCAGCCGATAGAAGTACCTGAAGCTGTCTTTAGCTTAAAATGTATTATTTTAACTGCAGCAGATAGAAGTACCTAGAGCTGTCTATATATTACATGTATTTATTTATTTACCTGAAATTAGTATACGTACCTAAAGCTGCTTTCAGATTTGTTTCTTGTCAGTGATTTGTTTCAATTAAAACATGAAATGAAATTGTATTTGTTCTAACTGCAGCTGGTATAAGTACCTTGATGGATTTTTTCCTGAAAACCCCTACACAGCTGGACCCAAAAATAGAAGGAAGAGGAGGATCAATACACCAAGCCAGGCTGTACTGCACTGCGGTGCTGTCAGTCTAACACTGGGGAACTTACTGACAGGAGAGAAGAACAGAGTGATGGCTTTGGCTAATTGTTTTTTTTGGTAGCGTTTTCGGAGGGAGATCAGCAGCGGACGCCCCCATTTTACAATTAGGATAGGTTTCAGGTGTAAAGGCAACAAAATAATTATTTTACGATACAGTGGACCAGTAAACTGAGATACATCCAGGCACTTCCAAGCCAGGAAGAGACAGATGTCACCCTGATGTACAAAAGGACATCAGGACACAATAGACAGTGGGCTGATGACATACATGTAACACTGTAGCATCCCTCTGAGTGACAGCCAAGACTTGCTCCATCCATCCCCTTGCCCACCCCATCCCATGGACTTGGCACCATACAGCAGCAGCAGCACTTACCTGCACAGGTCAACGAATCTGGAAATACAATCTGCAAGGATGTCACAGCATCCAACAAAACACCCAGGGAGGGGCAGGCCCATAGTGCAGCCATTGCACAGGGGGAGCAAGAGTAAAAGGAGCCAGCTCCATCCACTACCATTTATTCCATTGGCTCAGCGGATGAGTCATTGTAAATAATACAGACCAACTTGCCTTTCTTCTCACAAGTGCCTCCCTCCCTGCACCTGCAGGCAGCAGTGCTGAGTGGGTGGCAGCGGCCGGATCCCCCCCACGTTTCATTCATTTTTTACACCAGTGGTACAGCCCATTCATGCAGCTGCAGAGAGAGAATGGGCTTTAACCTGATGGGTGCTGAAGGGGCTGGAGTACAGGACCAGAGGAGGCTTTCCCAGCACATAGATGGAGGAAGGGGTTAATGCAGCCATGGAGCTGCTTTAGAACACAAGGTATGGGAGGTCCTGGATGAGAAGCCTCTCACACAGACTATTTGTTATTCATGTGTCATTACCAGCATGTGTTCATTGTGGAGGTTGTAAAGCACTGAGCCAGCATCTGACATCTGCCCCGCACAGTGCAATCAGAGGGCAATGTGCTTCCAATAACCTGAAGGTGACCTTCTCATGCTGGATAACCGCCCCCCAAGATCACATGATGGATAAACCCCCCCAGATCACATGATGGATAAACCCCCCCAGATCACATGATGGATAAACCCCCCCAGATCACATGATGGATAAACCCCCCCAGATCACATGATGGATAAACCCCCCCAGATCACATGATGGATAAACCCCCCCAGATCACATGATGGATAACCTCCAAACCATAGCTGACCATACACTATCTCTACAATCTGATTGTACAATCTCCTTTAGAACTTCCATCAACTATGTAGTTCAAGAGCCTGTCTGGTTGAATCGTGTTACCCTGCGTTACAGTCAGGCGTGAACGGTCATGCTTGGACTTGTGGTCCCACGACAGCTGGAGAGTGACAGCCCGCGGCCCCCTGTACCAGCATTTCTTAGTGTTCCAGGTTAACGATTGACAGCTCAGCTTCCTAAAAGGTTCTGCAACAGTCACGTAGACCAGCAGCCAGGACGGACTATGGAGATGAATCACATCCAGATCTGTATTATGTTTGCTCCAGCTCCAGCTGGATTGACTGGAACATGCGTGACACATGATGGCCATGACGTCACAACCATGCACGCTGCTTCTATATATAGTCCTCCTCACCCGCACACACTTCTACTATAGGAAATAATAGCTGTACAGTGCGGAAATACAAGACGACTGCTGGGGCGAGAGAAGTAAAGATGGTCGGGATCCTCGATATAAGAATTGATTCTCTTGCAATGCACTCGTGTTTATGCTTCATGGCTGCCGGCAAGCTGAGCCCCCTGAGCAATCATCTGTTACACCCCAAGCTCACTACAAAGCCTGCAATGGTACCAGCATTGAATAGTGTATTTCAGGGGTAGGCAACCTCAGCATTGTGGTGAAACTACCAATCCCTTCATGCCTCTGCCTCTGGGTGTCATGCCTGTAGCTGTCAGAATCTTGCAATGCCTCATGGGACTTGTAGTTTCACAACAGCTGGCGTGCCGAGGTTGCCTATCCCTGGTCTATGAATAGGATACTCAGCGACATTTCAATCCCTGGACACAGTTAGCCCCGCCCCCAGTCTGCACCAGGCCCGCCCACTTACTGGAGTAGCCCGCTCACAAGGTCCAACATGTGGGCCTGTTCCAGTATATGCATTTTATTTTACTTTTGGTTCGGGTACTAGAAGAGTTAAATCCCGTCAGTTGACTTTTTGTTATCAGTGCCTCATTGCAGAGATTTCCCTGCCCAGGAGATGCAACAGGAAATGAGAGGAAATCTATACAAAGTGAGGGGAATTCCCATCTTAGTTGCCACCGGAACAGGTGTCCCCAATGGAAGATTCACCCTCACCTCTTTTTCCGGTGACAACAAATTTCCAATGACTTTCGGTCTTCGGTGATGCCCTTGGCCCGCCCCTCCAGACTGACATCCACACATCAAGGCATTTTGATATTTGCATAACATCAAGGCATTTTGATATTTGACTCCCCAGAGGAGTACTGAGGCAGGGTGCTGTGATGTTTTCAGGAAGCTATGTACAGAACCCTGCCGGCCCCACCCACCAGCCATGATCTGCCTGCATTGCACAGAGAAGCCTAGAGACCCCTAGATGACTGGAATCTATCATCAGCATATTGATGATGGAGGGGGAGGAACCAGGGAAGGCATAATATAAGTTTCAGCTTTTAACCACTAAGTTTTTCTTTGTTGCATATTTATTCATCACTTTGGTAACTATCATTAAAACTGTGATGGGAATATTCATCACACGAGACGGCTCAGCTCCTCTATAAATAATGAATCAGCTGACTGAATGGAATATTGGACGGAACACAAAGGACGATGCTGGACATGAATATACATCACAGGATGTCTATTCCCGGCTCCAGCGATGTGCATGGACGTCTCCACAATGATCCTCCTCGAGGTTGGCAGCAGGTGGCTCCATTCATCAGACGAGACTCCCCACCAAAGGCGACGGAAACATACGTGATGGACTCAGGGCCGTCTTTAATATTAATTGGGTGCTGGGCAAGATTTTGCTGATGGGCCCCCACAACCCTCCCGACTCCATACATAACCTTCCCTTGAACACATGGGTTCCTATGCACAGTCAGCTACCAATTTTATTGAAAACATACTTTTTTATTTTAAATGAAATTTGTAGCTGACTGTGCATAGGTGTGCTGTGCTTTGTTTTTTTTTGTTTTTTACTTTTTAAATATTTAGGCCCCAGAGAGCAGCACGAAAATGGCGTTTTTTTCTTAACGTTGTGTTTTGTTTTTTTTAAACTCTTTTTGAAATCATTTTGCCCCCAGTGCGCAGCGGGTGTAGGGATGTGCACCGTTGGCGGGTCTCTCCTTCACGTGTCCCCCACGGCGGTAGAGAGCGGGCCTCTCCTCGTGTCTCCCTCAGCGGAGGAGAGCGGACCTCTCCTTCACCTGTCCCCTCAGCGGCGCTGCCAGTGTAATGGTGGTGCCGAAGAAGAAGCCGGAGGTCAGAAACCAGAAGTCGGCTTCAAAACGAGGCTTGGAGCGCAAATCGATCCCCGGGGCCTGGGGATCGCATTGCAAGCCACCCGCTCCATCAATAAATGTGCAGGGCATTACTGTGCTCGCCAGAAAGGAACTTCCCCTCGCATTTGGTGAGCGGGCGAGCGTAATTTTCAAGCCCTGGGGTAGACTAATGATTTTAGGACGGTGGTGGAGTGCCAGGGCCCAGTCGCAGCTACAAAACACTGCAACCCTGGTAGTTCTGCCACTGACTCCAAGCTGTAGAGGGACTACAAATCTCAGCAATACATTATACAGCAATGCAAAATGTCATCGGCAATGGAGGACTAGAAATTCCAGCAATACATTATATAGCAATGCAGAACACCAGCAGCGCCGCAGCCACTTTAGGCAGCAAAAAGGCTAGGGCCACCCCCTGCGTCACAGGGTTACATCATCTGTCAGGTTTCCTATTTGTCCTGTGGATCACTGTCATCGAGACAGAAAGTGCCAGGGAGCCGAAAAAGCTAGCACTGGAACAGGAAGGGAGAGGAAATCTTCCAGTGGGAACAATAAGAGATGGTGAGAGACTACAGCCATGTAACAAGAGATGCTCAGTGACTACCTTTTCCTTCCGTGGCTTCAGCAAGCATCAGAACACATAATACTGTCTTGCAGGGGCCCGAAAATAATCTAAAGGCAGCAGGCTGGGCACCAGGGGTGTAATGCATTGCACAATGATATCATCCTAATATTTTATGGCCAGAGGGTGCTGAAGATGTAGGTAACTCTCATTCAAAGTCTCTCAGCAGCAGAACGGGTTGTAAAGCCAAGAAGAGCAAAACCCGGTGACCTATGACAGGTCTAAAACAATGAATGCCATTTATTTATATAGGAGAAAAATGCGTATTTAAAAAGGAGAACTATGAGGTGTGTGATTTTCACTCATCCTCATAGTTCGAGCCGACGTGTGACAATGAAAATAAATCGGGAAGTGAGCGAACACATACCGTCGCTCGCTCACTTCTCGATCCTGTCCCTGCAGAGAGCCGTGATTGTCACTCACTGCTCCCTGCAGGGATTGCCCCCTCCCCTGTCCGATCCTCCAGCGCTGACTGGAGGAACGGATGGGGGAGGGGGCGGGTACAGCTGGCTCTGCCTCCAGATAGGCAGAGCCAGCTGTCAATCACGCAGCTGGGTGGCTCTCGACAGTAATGTCAGGATCCGTCTTGGCTGCGGCGTCTCAGTATACCCTGAGCTGTAGCTCGCGGTATACTGAGCATAGGGTAACGGGAGGACGCTAGTTTGTGTCCTCCCGTTACCCTTAGGAGAACTATTGGGGAAAAACACTTACTCCATAGTTCTCCTTTAAGGTGGTCGTCGAGTCAAGGTTGCCATCTATAGCCTTGAATTCATTTGCATCCTTGTGTTTCTGAATGGTTTTGAGAGCGGTACGGAGAACTTCTGGGGAAAGTAGACCTTCTGTATCCACGCCATTGTTCTTTAACAAATTTAAAGCAGGGGTAGGCAAACGGTGGCCCTCGAGTCTGTGTTAAAACTAAAAATCACATGATGCATCTGCCTCTGGGAGTCATACCTGCGGCTGTCAGAGTCTTGCAATGCCTCATAGGACTTGTAGTCGCACCGTAGCCGGAGGACCGATGTTCTATCAAAGTTTGTGACTGCGTTAGAATGTGTGACCGGTGACGTGGTCACACATTTTAACATAATTCCGCCAAGTTTTTCCGCGGTGGAATGTGTGACCTGGCCAAAGGAAGAATTATAACGCTTTCTCAGCTGTTTCAGGGCAGATCGTATGTGCAGGAGAACCGATCTGCCCTGGAACAGCTGATCGGTCCTGAAATGTCACTTCGATCCGACTTTGTGAGTGCGATCTCACATTTCACAAAGTCTGATAGAAGTGACATTTCAGGACCGATCAGCTGCTCCAGGGCAGATCGGTTCTCCGGCACATACCATCCGCGATGCCCATCTGCCCTGGAACAGCTGGAAAGCGTTGGAATTCTTCCCCTTTTCCCGCTCTCACATTCCACCTCCGAAAAATTGGGCGTGATTACATTAAAATGTGTGACCACGTGACCGGTCACACATTCCAAACCAGTCACAATCTTTGATAGAACCCCGGAGTTTGACATACCCCTATTGTAACTAAAAGAAAAGAAAAAGAGTTGTGTGATATCACATATCAGCCAGCAGATGGCAGCAAAATGCAAC